CAGTTTGAAATTTTCTGGCAGCTAGATGCTTAAGTGGCATGACTTTCCACTCGCTCTTCACTGCAAGCCTAAAGGGCAAACAGAAGTGAGTGGCTTGTTCAAAAGAGTTCAAGTCTGCACTGAATAGCTGATTGCAGCTCTAATTACCATGGGTTTACATCATTAGGGATAGCAACTGAAAAGGAGCTCTAATTCCAACGCTGTGAGATTTATTAATTTTTTTCCTTTGGCTCTTACCATTAAATGATCCATTTCTAACACTTCTGGTAAGGACAGGAAAGGCAAATTTCATTTCATGAAGGGAGAGGATCTCGATAAACAAGTACAAAGGCAGTATTTTTGCTCATAAAATTCAGCGAGGTAGGTGTTTGTAGCGGGGCAGAAAGGCTGGAGTGGTGAGGAGGCATCCTCTGAAAACTGATTGCACTCAGCTCCGATATTCAGTGCTCAATGCCACTGCTCATTTATGCTCGAACATTGTATTTTGACACTCTAGATCTCAAAGAGCAATCTGATTTAAATTATACTGCTTGCAGTTGTAAGGAGTTACCATATATTGTTTGTAAAGTTTTCCCACTGTGTCTAAAGGATCTTCTAACTCTCTCTCCCCTGGATGGGGCAAGTCTGAAGCTTCAGCAAACTATGCAAAGAACACACATATCTTTATATTACTATGTGATGTTTCAATGGAATGGACACAAGATAAATAGAGAAAAAAGATGTTGCATTGGTTCTTCTTCCCATAAAATACATTTACTTTTGAAACTCAAGATACGTTTCAGAAGACAGACTGCCACCCCCAGTGTAATGTGAATTTCTAGGGAAAGCTATTAGAAACTCCACTGATTTGCACATGACACGTCAGTGACATTTCACCTCCACGCTTTCACTTTGATCTGGAGCAAAGTGGGAACACATCTTCAAGGGGATTACGTAGATCAGGCTCAAGGTTTATGCTATTTTCGACCTGCCAGTGAATAAAAATGTTAGTGAGCACTAAATCCAAAAGTTTGGAAGGGAAACCGTTAATTCAAACTTGTATGAAAACTGCTCAGCTTAATTCTTGTAACTGAATACAAACTAATCATAATATTTTTGGATGACCTGAAGACTGACCTGAAAAAAAAGGGGGGAGGGGGACACACAAAGGAAGAAAATAACCCTCTTTAACCTGAGGTAATTCACAAAATATATCAGCAAGACACACAAATGTTCTCACCAAAACCTATATTAGATCTTAGTGACTCCAAAAACCACAGCACACTAGTTTTGCAGAATAACTTGTTCTAAAACAGCTCCCCACCTGCCTTAGCACAGGCACAACCCACAGGATAAAAGTCCCTTGGGAAGCAGGGAAATTATTCTGACAAAATGTTGGTCTTATTATGAATAGATTCTGTGCAGAATGGAGAGGCATTTGAGAATTGCTTATTTCAGTCGATTGCTGCGTGTAGACAAGACTTCAGTGACAAATGGATTTCAAGTGGCAAATATTATTACCTTCTTTCTTCGCTTTTTTTTTTTGGAGAAAAGTCCTTTATGTACTTGGTAGGTACAAGGTTAACAGAACTTTTTCAGCTATAAATATTCAAAATAAAGGTGCGCCTTTTGTGGTCTTATTAGCAATAATTCTTTAAAAAAACCCTGAAATGCGTAATCACGTTGGGCAGTGCAGGGACGAAAACATACACTCAATTCTGCAGTTTGTAACCAGTAGCACTGGTTTATTTTCAGTTATACAGCTCTTGAAGGGTCCCGCTGGGTTATCAAGCATCTCCTCTGCTGTTGCAGGCACCATGTCACACTCCCTTCAACATGCTGAGTTCCCCTTCTGACAGCCAAACCTTTATGCCTCCTCCAGTTTGACTTACAGGCTCTACTGGGTTGGCACTTTATCCTTATTCCCAGTTTAAATTACTCATGCCTTACAGGCTCTACTGGGTTGGCACTTTATCCCTATTCCCAGTTTAAATTACTCACGGCCAAACAGCACTCAGTTGTTCTTCAGCCAACTCTTTGATTTAAGTATTTCCTCTCTCTCCTACCTAATAGTTAGAGACAGTAATTTTGTGCCTTCATTTTGCTGGGCAAAAGCAGCTTTTCCGATCTGCCCTCACGTCCAGCCCCACTAAGGAGCTCTGCGTCCTGCCTCTGCTCGGAGCTCATCCTTTGGGAAGGTCTCAGGTGTTGAAGTTCAAACCATGAGACACACTCAGTGAGTTTTATCCAGCACTATGCAGACGTGAAATAGGAAAACAACAGCAACAATACAATTAAACCCTAGAGGGGAGGAGGAAGGGAAAACCAAAAAATCAAATCAGAACATAGATAAGGCAAATTTTCTGACATTTTCCCTCTCTCAATGTATTTATCCCCCTGCCTCAACCTTGCATGAGGGCTGCAAGTGATGACACGTGAGCAGCCAAGCACACAGAGGGGGCGTTTCAGCTCCATCCTTCCTGAAATCACCCTTCTGTTCCTCACTCAAAGGCAACAGCAGGACTCGCCCGCTCCCATAAGCCAGCGCTTCAGCTGAACACACTTCACAGGGAAGATTTTATAGGCTGCTCTCAGCGGCTGCGGGTTTGCATTTTAACAATTAAACCTCGTTGTTGGGAGTGCACCAGTAGCTTGGAGCAGGCGGAGCTTTTCCCGTATATTACACATCTCTTTCCGATATTTTTCTGCCTGATTAGTAATCGCTTCTGACAAATCCTTTCGCCAGCTCTGAACACCAGCCTTAGTGTTGCAGGGATGCTTCATGCGAAGCCTGGCTGAATGCAAATGCTAGGCTAATGCAAGGATGCCTGACTGCATCTAAGCATTTTCTTCACTGGACACCAGAGGGAGGAGGAGGAAAGGACAACTGACAGTGAAGCTAAAGAACTCCTCCAAGAACCCCGAAGGAGCTTATCGGACACTGGAGCCAAATACATTTCTGTAACCAGACCAAAATAAATAGCGGCACCTTGTCTGGGGACAGTACTTCTGATAAAAGATTTGGCAGGGGTAACACGAGGTAAAGTTACGGGAGAAAGGACTCAAGTGCAGCAGCACTGAGCACCGGGTGCCTCTTACCCAGCTTTATCTCCCAAGCTTTAAACAAACTCAATTTGTCGTGATTCTGGGGCTACTATTGCTGTCCATATTCTGCTTGGCTTCTGTGTCATAACCCCAGTGCCTTCCAGTCCAGCTTTCTTCTGGATGTGAAGAAAAAACATATTTCAGTGATTAACTGTGGATCCAAGCCACCACAGTTTGAGTCCAGCACCACAGGAGCATGAAATTTGGAAACTGCGAGTGCTCCATGCTCAGATGGAAACGTCAGGACCTTGAAAGAGGGAGGGAGGCAGTTCAAGGAGATTGATATGGTATCTATCTAGGAAGGTGGCAGCAAATGCTCAACACGTGGTTAGTATCACAATTAAATAAAAAAAAAAAAAAAAAGAGATTCAGCAATATTACCAGGGAACCAATAACTATCCTACTAAAACTATGCTTTTACTTCCTCATCAAATCTTTTCATTACACCATCAAGGCATAAGCAGGATTATTAAATGTCAGCCACAATTCAAATAATTAATGTATGGTGTTAATAGATATATTTGTGCTCTACAGGAGGATTAATAATAGCTGCTATTTTTCTTCCAACCATATTTTCTCCATTGTACATCTATTAATCATGAGAACACAGTGCATTTTCAAACCTCCTTACTATGAGGAGTGTTTAAGGAACTCACACTTTGAAAATTGGAGAATTCTTAACATATTCTGTTCTCTACTTTTTAATTTACTGTCAAAATACAAAAAACCAGTAAGCACTTAGAAAGGAAGTATTACAGGAAATGCAGTGCCTTCTCCAGAGCTGCTATTAATTGAAATAGCTCCTTGAAATAGGTCTTTAGAATCAAAAAATCCAGAAAGCAGGCTGTCCTCTGGACTGGTTTTGGTTGCTAACTTACTACAATCAAAATGCTTTAGAAAAGGCATCAAAAAAGTACCTTCTTACCAAACCCTTCTCCCAGGAGGCTGCAAGCCATGCTCAGCACCTGCTTGTCAGCTTAACTCTGCCTCTGCAGCCTCGTCCCTGCGAGGCGCTAAGCACCAGTGTGCTTGTGGTCCATAAAATCCACTGCACGGGACAGGGAGCGCAGCGGGGCCAGGGCTTTGCCCCCCTCAGATCCCCGCTGCCAAGGTCAGAGCAGAGAGAGATAGAGCTGACCCCTCCGCTCCTGCCATCGCACTCAACAGCTGACATGGACTTGCCCTGTGAGCTTGATAATAACTCTTCCAGTAATTTTCATCCACAGGCTAGACGTGTGCTACGTGAGGTGGGGTGTGCTACCTCTGATTATTTTACACTTACTACGTGTGGGGTAAGAGTTCCTCTGAATGGCCTGACCCCAGACAGGTCACCTGCCACCCACACTCCCACGCGGGCTGCAGACATACTGCCCGTGGCATGCTTTGTACCTGCTGGTGGCCTCTCAGCGACGCAACCAAAACCAAGTTCAGCTTCCAATTGTGCAGCAAACAAACATGTCCAGAAGGAGCTTTCAATTGCTTATAACTTGAAGAGGTTTAAATTCCCTCCTTTGATCCCAACTGTACTCCAGGTGTAACCCTTCCACAGTTAAGCCACTGGATATCCGACTCTGAACAGTGCAAGATTACGGAATGCATTATCAATCTCCCAAAACAGCTCAAAAAACATCCACATTCTATTTAAAATAATTTTTACAAGCATGAGATCAGGGTTTGTGATGTAAGTAAAGGTGTAATCATACCATCCGTCTGTGCATTACCCGTAGATGTGTGCAGTGCACAGGAACTACACACACACTGTCCCCAGCACAGCACCAAACAATAGATTTTAACCATCTGTGTGACCTGACAACTGCCAACTTTGGGCAGTTCCCACACCTTCTCTTTCATGACATGCGTTTTGTAAAAAAAAAAATGTCAAGAAGAAATATTTTAAAGCAGTTTTGAAGACCTACCTCCTCGCTGCACCAGCAACGTGACTTCGCTTCCCTTAGGACATTCAATCAGCATATCCACCACCTGGTTGTGAGTGAGGCTCTGCACATTCTTCTTGTTGACTTCGACGATAAGGTCGCCCTCCTTCAGGCCACGGCACCGCGGGCTGTCCACGATTTGTTTCACTCTTTGGCCGCCCCCACCGGGACTGTCTGCTATAGTAAACCCGAAGCCCATAGGCCCTTTCACTATATGCACAGTTATAAGTTCAGGTTGTGTTGCTATCGAAGACGCCAAAGAGACCGTGTCGTTGGGGTAACCATGGGGTCCGTTGGAGGAGACCTCGGCCGGGCTGCTGGGTCTCGCTTCCTTTGTGCCGTTTACTTTCCCTGTTTTACTACTGTGGCTCGCCGGGGAGTCGTAATTTTCCTGCCCGTTCACAATGATGGGCTCTTTGTCCAAAATCGCCACAGATGTAACCAGGCTCGTGTTGGGATCGTCGGGATCGAATGGCAGGGGGTAGCCTCGGCACAGTTCGAGGTCCACGCTGGCACCAATGGGGATGGACTGGAAGATTTTCACAACTTGAGCATGAGTGTGCCCCAGCACGCAGGTATCATTCACACTGACTATGACGTCCCCTGCAGAGGACACAGACAGATAGACCAAACACACACATTTTGTGTATCCTGGGAAGGGGAGAACTGGAGCCTGTGTGCTGATCTGCTGTATCCACAGGCACCACTCACGAGTCAATAGTAGCATTTAAGTGCCTTTGCAAGGAAAAGGAGCAAGAACTGGGCGAGCAAGAACTCTCTGTACGCAACAGATTCACTGCATAAAGCCTTTATGTACATAAATATTTTTGAAAGTGAAAATGGAATTGGCTCATGAAGAAAAAATTAACGAACTCAATTGACAGTATATGGCCCATTTAACAGTCATTTCGAAGCCCAGCTCTCACTGTTACACACTGTGCTACGCTGACATCTGACAGGGAGCTGTAACAGGAGGCGCTGGAATACCAACTGCTCAAATAGGGTGCCACGTGTCACATCGCAGACATACTTCGGCCTGAAATCTAAGTATCAGTTAAGTTATGATTCACTTCTTCACACTGGGGTTGCTACACAGGGACGCCGAACGCTCTACCTACAAGTGACGAGTTGTGTCCTCAGGTGAAACCGAGCAGGATTTCACCATGCTGGGCTTGCTCTCGGGCAAAACAAATTGTTCCTCAGCTCCTCCATAGGGGAAGATGCAAACTAGCCCACTCCTCTGCCCACTCCCTTGGGAGCAGCCTGGGAGAGGGGGTGAGCAGCATGACAGATACACAAACCCTACAAACACACAGCAGCTATTGCCACAGTGGAGAGAGCAGTGACCTGCAGCCTGATGGGCACCCCCACAACTGCCGGCTCCTCTCCACAGGTCAGCATGTGAAAAACAGGGGCTAGCAGAGCCCCCAGCTGGATATTTTGACACCTGAAATGAAATTTTAGCACACAAAGTGCTTTGCTGTAGGATTTTGAATGTATCCCTCAAGGTATCTCATTTCCGTGCTCGCTGATGGGAAAGCCAAATGACTTTCCCCAAAAAGGGGATGAGAACTACAGTCCTTTATGAATTGCACACAAAAACAGCTGTAAAAACATAAACCAAAGTGGTGGTGATTGCGATATAAAGCATCGGTACCTGTTTCCATTTTGCCATCCAGCGCTGCAGGGCCGTCAAGCACCAAACTTTTGATCTGGAGAAATTCATCCGGCTCGTCCCCTCCGACAACGGTGAAGCCAAACCCCCTGCTGCTTTTCCTCAACTTGGTGTGGATGAACTTCCCTTTCAGCTCAGAAGGGTTTCGTGTAAAAAAAGGTTTTCCTGTGTAGGAAGTTTGGAAAAATCTATAAACAGGCAGGCAAGAGCATTTGATATGGTTTTCCTTTGCCCCTCCCGGCTCTAACAAGCACAGCAGTGTGCTGGGATGGGACTGCACTCGCATACTCTCACCTCATCACATTCCACCCATCTCCTTGGATCCAATCAAGCAGTAAAAGGAGTGAGCAAAAATCCCAGTACCTGGTGCTTTGTTAGCTGTGGTTGTGCACACCAAAGTCCCAAGGCTGCAAAGGGGAAAATATGCTGCTTTAAAGAATGGGCTCTATTAAGGCTGGCAATGCTGGCTTAGATATATATCTCTTCTCAGTCCTGAGGTGGTTATATCCATCCCAGCAAAGATGGGGCAGGGGCAGCACAAATGCCTCCGAGAGCACCCTGGAGCGAGAGCTTCTGCAGAAAGGAGTATCGTTTTGTTTTTCACCACTTGACCTTCTCTCAACCCACCAAGCAAAAAGCAACTTCTGAGGGCCTGCAAGACGCTCTGTAACCTTTTAGCATAACCTCCGCCACCCCACCATTGTTACCACCCTGTGACCTCCTCTGGTAAAAAAAGGAGAGGATGCTGATGTTGTTCTTCAGACACTGTTTGAAATCTTTTCTCTTTCCTTTCTGCTCCTTGCCTGTTGTGGATGAAACATTGCCGTCGTGAAGTACGGATCAAAAAGCAGCCCGGGACTGGAGACACTGTGCTGGAGGGCTGCTAATGCTCTCTGGGAGCACGGTTAAGAGGGAACGAGGTGCTCCAAAGACAAGAGCACATCCTTGCAAAGCATGTTGCACAGGCTCAGAAAAGGAATCCTGGTTGCTGTACTTCACAGCGCCAACACTAAGCACCTTTGCACTTTTAATTGTTCTTAATGCTTAGAAGGGAAAAGACTGTGCCACAAAGCCCTCTGGTGACAGCTCCAGGACCAGCAGCGTGTATCACAGCCAGGAGAGCTGGCACACTTTCAGAACCTCAGCAGTATTGCTGTGGGCTTCTGTTCAGAAAGTAGACCTTGAGGGAGAGTGCGGGGATTTGAGACGCCTAAGCCTTTGACTCTGGGAATGAAAACAAAAAAGTATATTTGAAGATTATTCATGAGGGGGCAGCGTGAGGACTTGCAGTCTTCTGCCTTTGAAGGGCAGCACAGGGACACGGTAATCTTTCACATTGTGGGCAGATGCTTTGCTCAGACCTCAAGCTGCAAAAAAAACCCCAACCCTGACTATCAAAGAGAAAGCCAACATCTCAGGTAACAAACACGGCTGAGAGGCAGCGTGCAGCAGGGTTTGGTTCTGTGCTGACTTGTGGTTCAAAAGACAAGCAGAACTGCCAGCAGCTGCCTGCAAATGCAGGTGAACTTGTAACTGTAGTTACAGGATGGCAGCACCACAGGCTATGTCCCACCTACAGCACTTGTGTGGGGATCACATGTTAAATAGTCTATCTACAAAACCCCAGATGGGAGAGCTGTGCCAGGGGCACAAGGAGGGGTCCTTGTGCCGCCGTCCCTGCCAGCAGTGCCATCAGAGGGAGAAATGAAAAGCCCTGGGCATAGGACAGGGGGATGGGAAAGTTGGAAGTAGCTGCTGCAAATGGGGAGCGAGAGAAGAGGGAGTAGCACTGAGAAAGGAAGAAGAAGGCATGAAAGAAAGGAGGAGTCATTAGCGGGTACTAGGACATGTCACTCAGAGCAGTGCTGAGACAGGATAAGGCTCTTCTGTGATTTTACTGCATAATTTCAGTGGCTGGCGTTGGGAGAAGGTAGAAAGCTCAGTGAGCCTTCCAATGTCACCCCTCTGCATGATGGGTCCTTTGCACCACTGTGCACGGATGCTGGGGCAGCCCTTGCTTCAGCCCCACAGTGTAAAAGGTAGAGGTGGCATTCGCAGATGTCTCCCTAAAGAAGACCAGCATTTTCGGCCACTCTGACGATGTGCTTAATCCCACATGCCTGGCGGTCAGGGAACCATCCCCAGACCTCCTGCATTTGTCCTTGCTGCAAGTCTGGATTACTGTAATATACTGCAATACCCCTCAAGGAACACGCTGAGGGCTTTGGATACTGCTAAATTTCGCACATCTGTTTTGCAAGGGCTGATCTGCTGCCACCTGCAGCAGACAGCACTCCCTGGCTTGTCATGGAAGGAAAGGCTGCCTGGGACAGCAGCAGCAGTGCCAGGCTCGCCTTCGGAGACCACGGCTGACCTACAGAGCGCGGGAGTTATTTCCCAGCTCCCGGGGCCAGCCTCCCCGCAGCTGCTCCCAGGTCTGGCCAGACGACATGCTCCCTTTTCTCACCTCCTCTGGTCTTTGGTTCCTGCAGACCAGGGAAATGCCATTCGCTTGCTATGTAATTTAAACATAGTCAAAGACAAAGCTTACTTGCAACCGCTTGTAACCAGAGAGCACTTGTACTGCAACAGGTACAAGTGGAACACTCCGCCCTTGCTGGCAACCCGATCTGGCAATGTTTCAGCTCATGCTGCAAATTCAGAAGCAATTCACGTCCTGTCTGGTTAGTTATCTAAGACAAGTTGCAAGCCAGACTCATCCACGGCAACACCAGAACTTGAATGCTCGGATGTCACAAACGCAACCAGGACACCCAAGCTCTCCAAAAACAAGGTTTTGCCAAACAGTGCCAACAACCTGTGCACATCATAGCTCCCAAACATGCTGTCCCGTTTCCAGGCCTCTTAAACTACTTTAACTTGAAACTCTGCCTGCCCACGAATGCAGACATGGGGTGACATTGGCTACAGCTCTCAACTTAAAGCAGGACCATTTTAATGCACGTGTGTGTCTTAACCACAGTGCAACACGGTGAGATTTTGTGCTGCTTTTTGGGAGGGTATGTCGACCTACGAGAACAGAAAGAAATTTCTGCACTAGATCTTATAATAAGACACATTCTAAACTCAGTAGAGTTTATTCTAGAAGGTCTAAAAGCCTAATTCTTGCCTATCCATGCATGTCTGTAGAAAAAGCTCTCCTACTTGCACACCTATGCAGTTGCTGCTAAATCCCACCAATATTGTAACTCATGTTTTAACCATGCCTTTTTTTAAAGACTTGTAATGCTACACAGAGAACAGTCACAATTCTTTGATTCAGGCAATCTCATTTGCCTCTTGCATTTGGCAACAAAAGTGGTCTCAAAGTAACTAGGCTCAAAATCTACGGCAATTCAGACCAGCAGGCATGTGTGACACTAGTCACAGAGATACTCCCTTTGCTGGTGGCTGAGGGAATCTCATTCTCAGAAAAAAAAAACAAACCTTGTTGCATTTTTTACAATTGGTTTAACAAGGTTGTTACCTTGCACCGGTGCTTCCCGAGCTGCCTCTTGGTTGTTTGAAACATGGTTTGGAGCAGCGGGTTGTGGGAGAGATGGACACTCCTCTGTCCATTCTAGAGAGGGCAGAGAGGGAAACGTTACTTGTTTCACAACAGCACTATGAGCTCCTGCACGTACGCACACTTGGGAGTGTGGGGTTCAATCAGAGGAGATGTGAGAAACATGGCAAGAGAGGAACCAGAGTCATGGAGAGAGGGAATAATATGAATAGGACATGCAAAAACCAGTTCTGGAGGACTCTCTATGTTCAGGTCACCTGGTCTCTCTCTGCTGGGACACCCTACCTCACACTCGGGACTTGATTTGCATCTAAGTGGTCTTGACATTTATAGGAAATCTATTCCCAAAGGCACTCATGGCATCTAAGTAGATGAGGGGCTGCAGGAAGAATGCTGACGCTTAAACTGTTTTCCCCTTGGATAATAACTGTTGCCAAATAACTTGGCGTGAAAGCTACGAAGGTACCAAAACAAAGTCAAATGCCACAGGCTCCTGACTGCAGCTGAGCTGCACTGAAAATAAAAAAGAAAGAAGAAGGGAGAAAAAAAAAATAGGAAAAGAAAAAGTGTTTTAAAATAATAAAATTACTTCAGACACTAGAGCTTGACAACATCCAAAGGTCTTGGGTTAAGAGGTCTCTCATGCAGAGGGGTTTATCTAGTGTGGATGTAAATAGCTGCTCCCCATCCCCTTTGACAGCTTAAGTGTCCCAATGCAGACTGGAACAACCCCAGCTACACCAAGTAACCTGATGGAGGAGATTGCAGGGGAAAAGGTGTGTTTTAATTGCTTCTGGGAAGCCTTGAAACTTTCTGGAAATAAAAGACAACAAAAGAAAACCCCCTCCTCTTTAACAGGGCTGAAAGCTACTATGTTTAAGTGGTTATATAGTTTAGATTTCCTCCTTTGCTGCACCTTATGTGAAGGGAATATGCAAACTTTCCTATGCACATAATTTTGTATTTAAACACCAGGGCCACAGAAGGAAGGACAAACACAGGGGCACAGTGCTGCCAAGGCAAGGGAGGGCACGTTCTCTCATGAACACCCCACCCAACACGCCCTCGGTGGTGCCAACCTTCTGGTGGCTGTTGCTGTTGCTCAAGCTGTTTCTTCCTCTTTGCTTCAAGAACTGGGTTTTCATACTGTGTTTTTCGGTTGATGTGGCTGGAGATGAAAGAGAGCAATAAATTAGTAAAACCCTTTACGTGACAAGCAGGAACGACGGCCAGGTATGAAACTCCTCTGAGGGAAGGTGTAAAATACCAAATATGTGTATGCGAAGCAAGGCTTGCCTAGTTGTGCCAAAAAACATTTTTAGGAAAACAGATGGATTCCAGTATTGATACGATGTCTTGAGTAGGAACGGCTAATTCCTTCAGACACATTAAAGTAGCGGTCTGTCTGTGAAAAATGAGAGTAAAGGTGTTCTGTCTGACTGCATTTTAGAAGGCAGGCTTATATCATCCCTGCTTTAGTCAGATTCCCACAGGTGTGGTCATTCCCTGGATCACTGAAGTTAAAACAAAACAAACCCCAATGACTGGTAGCATCTGTCAGCTATTTGATCAATGCACAATATTAACAGGGTGTCTCAAAATTGTCAGTGGGGATGCAGGCTATGAGCTGCAAAACTGGGCTCCAAATGGACCGAAATATCTCCAGAATTAACCACTGGCAAATACTGCCAGTGGAAAGCAGCCTTTGGTGAAACTTTAGCTGACCTCCTCGGAGGGCCATTAGGCAGCTTTTGACCCGTTGAAATGTTTAAAGCCAATACTCCTTACTAACCTCGCAAAAAGGTAAAAAACAATGAAAAAAGCCCAGCTCCAAACAGGGCAGAGAAGCAACGCGCTCTGCAGGGGATTAACCAATTTTAGGCAACACCAGCGACAGATGCCAGCGAGGTGCGGGCAGGTCTGGGAACTCTTCTGCAGCTGATGGCTCTAGCTGAGACTCACTGCTCATCAATTGTTTCAATGCATTTTTTCAATAGTGAGTTTGCTACAGCAGAGGAGCAGTTAGATCTCAGACAATTATATTAGCTTAAAGCTCATTTCTGTATCCAAAGCAATGATTACTCTAAAAAGCTTGCTATTTTATTGCCTCTTGCCCCATGTGTCTTTATAAAAGAAAAACCCCAATGAATAAACAAGCACTTTTTCAAGTAATCACAATAGGAGCACTCTAGATAGGTATGTTCAGAGTTTTTTCTGCTAAAGATCAATATTCAATCACTGAAAAAACACCTAACTAATCAAATAAAAACAAGTTAATGAGTTCTGCAAAAGATTTCCTTTGTCAGGATATCTTTAGAAAGTTAAGAAGAAATAGCTACTTTAAAAATGATACAAAGTTTTTCATGATACAGTGGTTTTTCAGTAAAAAACTATTATACAACAATAGAGTGCCCGAACTGGAAGGCACAGAGACAAATGCTTAAATTATAACCATCTTGCTAGTTTATAGATAGTAAGTAAAATAAACTCGTATCTCATTACTGTCACTTTTCTATTTAATTTCATCACTAGGGATTGCCAAAAAAACTAACGGGCATGTATATATAAAGTGACAAGAAAAAATGCTGTCAAGACCTCTTGGCATGGCATTTAATAGCTGAAAAATATTCTTGATGTCTTCGGTAAATAAATGTCAAGCCTTAATTACTCAGCTTGCTAACCTTGTTTCCCTAGGCACAGACGGTAGGGTCAGAAATAAGCCAAGGCAGACAGAAACTGTACTCCATGTCTATTCTGAGGGCTATCATAAGCCATCTTACCAGACAGGAGTATACACATAATTAAAAATTCACTTTATGGGGTCAGTGATGAAACAAAACTCAGATCTCTGGTTTCCCAAGGGAGCGATCGGACATCTAGTCTAAGAAGAGGTTGTTCCAATTCTGGAGAGAATCCCATTAAACCTGTAATTCTATTCCCAACAACACAGCCCGAGGCAAGAACCTCTGCTGTGGCTGTTTGGTCACACAGGCTGGTCCATGCCTACTTTGGAGTGTCTTTTGACTGGTAACTAAGTTGGTTGTCTGCTCTGCACACTCTTATTTTGATGACAGCGCTACATAAAGAGGATCAAGCTCAGTTAATTGCCCACTTGTTCATGTTCTCTGGATAAAAGTATTTTGGGAGGGGCTGGGGTTCCCGCACACCCCAACCCTGGGGTGCTCCTGTCTTTCTGGAGCTCACCCTCCTCCCAGGGTGCCCGTGTCTTCCCTCACCCACCACCACCACCCCCCCAGGGTGCTGCTGCCAGAGGACGAGGAATGGCAAGGTAGGGCTGCCCTCTCCAGCCCCTAGAGCACCCTCCAGCCTGTAAGGGGCCAGGTCTCCTCCTCCTTGGTACGAGATGCCACCAACAAAGCACACAGACCACAGGGGAGAAAAGCCTTCCTCCACCCGACAGCCACACCGCAACCGGAGAGCAGCACTTACTCTACATAGTAGACACCATATACGGGATCCTCAATTTTCTCCCAACCAGCAGGCAACTCTGGAAACAGAAAAAGCATTACTGAAGCCTCCGATGCAGTTTTGTCCAGTTTTGTGGGTTTTTTGTTTTGTTTTTTTTTTTCTGCTCCTGCTCAGCCTGCAAAACTCACCAGTAGCTCAGACTTCAAACACTTTTCAGAATGATCACAGCCTCCTTTTAAAGGCTGGCACAGCACGGCACCAACACTACAGCCTGTCCTACCAGTGCTGGCTTAGCAAATCAGTGGGAAGATGCCCATGCCAGTCAATTTTAGATTTGCTTTTTGCATTCAATGAACAAATGATCAATACATTTCCTTTCTGGGAGTGCCTCAAATACCCTCCTGGATTCACCAGCATGGGCAGAGTGGCCGTGGATGGAGTATCGCCATGGAAGCCGCTGCAGGCAAC